AAAACACAAACAGACATCTGGTGTTCTCTGATTTCAGCCAAGATTCATCTGACATTGGCAATGACATCGCTAGTGCCATAGCCTCTACTAAACCTAGGTTGTATTTCTAGCAGTTTTTTGTCAATGTGTTGTTCTAGTTCACATTTGAATAATCTTCATCAAGATTTTGTTTACAGCTAGATCTTCAGTTTTGCCAGCATCATTTGTTGAAAAGGCTGTCGTTTCTCCATTTAATAGATTTTGTTTCCTTCCAAAATATCAATTGATCATAGGCAGAAAGTTTATTTCTGGGTTTTTTATTCTATTCCATTGGACTGTATGGATCACTACAAATTGTGCCTAACCTTGAGAAGAATGGGGATCCCAGAACATGACTGTGTTCAAGTGAAATCTATACTTGGGTCAAGAAGCAATCATCAGAACAGAGCAGGGGAACACTGCATGGTTCAAAATCAGGAAAGTAGTGTGTCAGGGATGACACAGGACCCGTGTGACACATAGATGTTTGGCAGGACAGATATGCCCTGTCTCTATCTATATGCAGAACAGAGCATTAAGGAGGCTGGCCTTTATGAGGAGGAATGTGACATTAGAATTGGAGGAAGAGTCATCAAAAACTTGCATTATGCAGATGACACTGCTGTGCTTGCTGAAACTGAGGAGGGCCTGAAGCATTTGCTGTAAAATGTCAAGGACTATAATCTTCAATAACGATTGAAGCTGCACATCAAGAAAATAAAGATTCTCACAACTGACATATTGGCAGCACTATGATAGATGAAGAAGAGATTGAGATTGTTAAGAATTTCAGCTTGCTCGGTTCCACAATAAATAACACACTTGGCACCAGCAGTCAGAAAATCAAATGATGGATTGCATTAGGAAAATTTGCTGTCAGGAATCTCCCCAGAGTGCTGAAGAGAAATGGTGTCAGTCTAAAGACTAAGGTGCACCCAATCCAGGCCATGGTCTTCACAATTACTTGTCATGCATCGGAGAGCTTGACAATGACCAACGAAGACAAAAGAATTGATGTCTTTGAATTTTGGTGCTAGAGATCAGTATGGAACATACCATAGACTGTCAAAAGAACAAAAATGGTCTGTCCAGGAAATGATGAAACCAAGCTGCTCGTTGAATTTTGAAGTTCTGTCCCACATACTTTGGAGATCATGTTAGAAAGGACCAGTCCTTGGAGGAGGATGTCATCCTTCGAAGGGGTAGGGACAGTGCAGGAGAAGGCCGTGGATGAGATGGGTTGACATTGTAACTGGGGTAATGGGGTAGTTGTGTCAGAGGCAGAGAGATTGGCTCAGGATAGGGCAGGGTTTAGAGCTAGTATGTATATAGGGTTGACTCAATGGCAAATAACAAAAGTGTGTCTGTCCAATACATGCTTTTTTGATTACTATGGCTGTTCAGTGATGCTACCAAGCCATAGGTGGGTGGCTCTAATCAGTGGCCCTAAGGCCTGTCTTTAACTGTTTTTGGTGAAACATTCTTCTAGGATGCATAGCCCTGGTGTGTTGCCATACAGAGGTAACTTGTGGGGGCTGTGAAGCTGAACACTGTGACACTGATGTGTCAAATGTGATAATGGTTACCCATGGTGGACCATGTTTGGTGGTGCTTCCCGGTTAAAACAAGCTTGGAAGCAGGAGTGGCATCTACTTCCGTAAATAGCTAGCCTCTGGAAACCCTATAAACCTGGAGCAAGGATGAAGGTCTCACAAGCATCCAGTGTCGAGGACACTGGTTCATAGAGTCCCTACGACTCAACGGCATTTAACAACAACACAACAACATGGCTGTGTAGTAGACTTTGAGATCAGGGAGTGTGATGTCTCTCAGTTAATTTTTATCCTTTCAGAAGACTTTTCCTTATTTGGGGTCTCTTTCCTTTCCAAATAACACTGCAAAATACACCACAACAAGATAAAGGTAAATAATCCAATAGAAAAATGGGCACAGGATATGAACAGACACTTCACCAAAGAAGACATTCAGATGGCTAACAAGCACATGAAAAAAATGTTCAAAATCCCTAGCTCTAAGAGAGATGCAAATTAAAACAACTATGAGATTTCATCTCACCCCAGTCAGAATAGCAAAATTTAACAGAAGAGCAAGCAATAAAGGCTGGCGAAGTTGTGGAGAAACTGGAACCCTTATTCATTGTAGGTGGGAGTGTAAAATGGTGCAACCACAGTGGAAGGCAGTATGGCACTTTCTCAAAAAGTTGCAAATAGAGATGCCATTTGACCCAGCAATTCCACTACTGGAAATATATCCCAAAGAGACCATAACTGACATCCAAGCAGATATATACACATCCATGTTTATTGTGGCTTTGTTCACAACAGGAAGGACTTGGAAACAACCTAAGTGCCAATCAACAAACGAATGGATAGAGAAGCTGTGGTATATTCACACAATGGAATACTATGCTGCACTGAAAAACAAGGAACTCATGCAATATTATTCAAAATGGGAGACCCTGGAGGACATGATGCTGAGTGAAGTATCTCAGTCACAAAAGGACAAATACTGAATGCTGCCACTGTTGTAAAACAAGGCTAACATCGGGGTTGGGTGAAGACTGAGAAAGATGGGTTCAATAATGTATACTGCATTGAAACAGATGAGGGAAAAAACTGTTTAAAAGGGATATGTGTTTAGGTAATTTTTATCATGATAGGTGACATGGTAGAGTGGACCTGGGGGAGGGTTTGTAAAACAATGACAGAATTTTTGTTTTCCAAGAGGGTAGTGTACTGGGGGAAGGATTGGGAGGGGAGAAAAGTACAACGAATGAACACAAATCCAAAGTCTCTGTAAATTTTTACTGAAATTAATAATGTTGTTTTTTGTTATGTGCCTTCAAGTGGCTTGCGACTCATAGTGACCCTATGTACAACAGCCCTAAACTAGCTCTGTCCTGTGCCAATCGCACTGTCTCCGATACACCCATCCTCATCACCCCAGTAACTGAATCAATCCACCTCATAGAGGGCCTTCCTCTCCTGCGCTGTCCCTCCACCCTCCCAAGCATGATGTCCCTCTCCAAGGACCAGTCCCTCCTTACAACATGTCCAAAGTATGTCAGATGGAGCCTCAGAATCCTTGCCTACAAGGAGCCTCCCAGTTTAACCCTTTCCAGGATGAATCTGTTTGTTTACCTAGCAGTCCATGGTACCCTCAATACGCTTCTCCAGCACCACAGCTCAAAGGCATCAATTCTCCTTCTATCCTCCTTAGTCACTGTCCAACTCTCTGACGCATAACAAGTGATTGCAAAGACCATGGCCTGTATCAGATGCACCTAAGTCTCCAGAGAGACACCACTGCTCTTCAGAACTTGGGAGAGGTCCCTAAGAGTGGACATTCCCATCGCAATACATCTTTTTTTTTATTTAAAGAATTTTTTAAATATGCTAATATTTTGACCTGGTAATAAATTAATAGTAACCAAAAACTGCTGGGCACCATCCTAGGGAAATGCTTTTGGGTACATACAGAACAAATGACCTGACTTGACAGCAACATCGGGTTGGTTTATTTTACTTTACTCCTCCATGCTCACGTCAGACGGGTAGTTTGCCTATGTCGTAACAAGGCTGAAGGGTGGCACGTCACACAGAAGCGTGAGCACCCAATCATCACACTTGTTGTCCACAGGAAGTCATGATGTGGATGGTCTGTATCTGTAAAGATTTCAACTGCCATTTCAGTTCCTGCAAGTGAAAAGCCTGACGAGAGAGAAGTGCTCAGAAATCACTTGATCTGGTCTCCGACTGTGCAGATGAGGGTTCACGGCCGAGGGTCACAAAGCAGGGTGACTGTGCTTGACCGGCATGGGGGATGAGGGTCTCTGGGTCGTGGGGAATGAGGCAGGTACCCTCTGACAGATCGCCAGCTCACACTGGGAAAGGGTTTGCTCTGTCAGACCAAGGCCTGAACCTGATCACTTCAGTGACTCGGCTGTCCTGGAGACAAAGCCATTCCCTGTCTGCAGCCCCAACACTGACTTCTGCGGCCGTTTCTGCTTTGCTCTGGACATCTGGACCTGGGCCACAGAAGGGGTGCCCTTACTGCTTCTCTCTAGGGGTATCTCCTCTTGCTTAACACTCCATGTGAGCAGAAGGAACTAACATGTCATCCACACCCACAACAGGACTGCAGTGTCTGACGACTCCACTCGGGCCTCCTCTGGGGAGCACAGGCGCTCACTCCACTTCCTTCTGATTAGGACTCGTGCTCGTAGAGTGGGGGCTCTGGGCCCACCAGCTGCAGGAAGGGGGAAGATGTGGCTCCCGGACTCACAACCCTGGAGACCCCAGGGGCCAGCTGACTGTCCTACAGGGTCACCCGAATAGGAACTGACCTGATGATGGTGCTGCTGGGTTATCCCAAGGCCTGCCTGCACAGCTGAAGTCTAACAGGTGGCACACTTAACAGAATGCAGGCCTTTCAATGATGACAAGGCCGAGAGGGCTGCTTAGGGGAGAGGGGAGGCAACTGGAAGGGTAGTCCTGCCAAGAAAGCAGGTATTCTTAAGTTCTGAACACGAAAGGTGAAGTTACACGTCACCGAAGGGTGAATTCTAATAATCTTGGTTACGAAGTCCCAAGGCCAATCCCTTCCCTGTCAAGGAATACTCATGACCTTGAGGTAGGTGACGCTGTCATCGGATATTAATTACAGATACAAAGATGACAAAACAGTGGGAATGGGAGCCCTGGTTTCCTTAAAATTCACCATCTTCCCTTCAAGTTCAGGTGGAAAACAAGCAACACTGTCTTCCAAAAGTGTAAGTGTGAAACATGAGGCATTTCATGTCACGGCGGCTCCTTTATTGAAGAGGAATGCCGCTGTCCACGCAGGAGTCCGCTCTGACGACACAGCAAGCCACAAAATCTGTCCCCAGGAAGAAGCCGCAGTTGACCTGTCCATCAAGGCTCATTCCCAAGTGTTCTGGATTTGGAATCCGAGGGTTTTCGTCAGCATCTAACTAATTCTGTGTTGGCTGAAGGGGCTGGGACGGTCTCTCCGCACATAAACTGGTCCTTGTCATAGATCGTTTTTATAACAAGAGAGCAGCTGGGACACGTCACCACCTCTTCCCCATTCTCCAAATCCTCCTTGGTGATACAGAAGTTGTCACCGCATGGGCAGGGGTAGAAGTACGACTCCGAGTGCTCGTCATACTGGAAGTCCTCGATCTCCACCTCGTCGTGAAACACCGCCATTGTCCCTGAGCCAGCAGGACGGCGGACACCCACGCAGCGTCCCTCCGTCTCCACAATACGTCTTTTAATTTCCTGGCTACTGATGCCGAGAGTATTGACTGTGGAGCCAAGCAAACTAAAGCTATGAACAATCTCAATCTCTTCACCATCCATCCTGATGCTGCCAATTGGTCCAGTGGTGAGAATCTTTGTCTTCGTGATAATGAGCCTCAAT